CTTTATTTATTCAGCTAGTGGCGGCTCTTAAGAAACGTACCGCCAGTGGTTTCCTTCGTTGCGCTCTACTTTAAGCAATTAAGCAAGCAGAAAGGGGAGACCCCATGGGGCATATTTGCTTACTGCCCCATGGGGGCACGGTAAGTAAAGGGGCGTCCTCATCGCCTGCCCTGGGTAATTAAGTTTGAATTAGCAGACATCTTTGCACAAATCATTTTAATTACAATTTATAATATCTAAAACAGCAGTCATTTTGTATGACCGCCAGGCTTTCTAGTAGATATATATATAGCATTGTTCTAATATAGGTATTTTGACGCAAAATCGGACTTTTTCTGAAATAACATACGAATGTTTTTCCATATTTCAATTCTAAGACTCAAATTATGCCAAACTACCAAGTTTTGTAAAAATCGTACAAGTAGTTTTTTAAAAATTAGCTCTCAAAACTTTAGCTTGTCAATGTTGAGTTTGGTGTATATTTATTAATCTCTCTTTTTTTTATTAAACTTACTTGATTCTTCCTTTCACATTTCAAAATTCAGGTTTATTCCAAATAAAATTCACATATTTTTTTATAATTTATTTTTTAAATTCATATTTTTAAATAATTTTTATAAAGTTTTCAAAAAATTTTGAATTATAAGCTAAAAATGTTTTACCACCATTATAAAGTAGACTTATTTCTAAGCATACCTGCAAAAAATTACAGTTTTTTATTCAAAATTTCCGAAGATATACATGAATTTATATATTGGCGCGTTTTGAAATTTGGCATATTTGTTGAAACTGATAAAACATCAAATGTGGTTTAGACACTCTGCTAAAATTATTTGCAAGTAGAAACGATGTGACTTTTTTCCCGCTCATACAGAATATAAAAAGGTAGGAATGTGGTGGTGGTGCCTTTTCCCCCACTCCAGCATAATGGAAGGGAAAGGAAAATTGGTTGCCACATATTAAGAAGTTTACCAAGGGAATTATTCTTAGCACAGACTGAAAAATTATGCCAAGATAAATTTTTGAATTTCTCTTTAAATTTCGCACCAAATTTTAAAAAATTTAATATCTAGGCATAATTGTACAATCGCAATATGGAAAAAAATTGGTATCTTGTTTCAGAAAAAGACTGATTTTGTGTCAAAATACCTATTTTAGAACAATGCTAAATATAAATGTAATATATATCCTAAGTAGTGCTTTCGAGACATGAAAAACGCAATTTGAATTTTGTCAATCGGCCCAATAGAATGGGATATATAGAACTGTACCTCTTCCCCCCCCCGCAGTGTACATCATGCATAGAATTTTGACTTTTATGTAAAAAGTAAAGAATCAGTCCAAATATGATAAAGTTTCAGTAAGTCTGAACTGAAGGACACACACCTTAAAAACAAATATTGAAAATTCAATGTGGAATTAGTATCAATTTTGTATACTATAGCAATATTCACTTTAACTTGTTTCGAATTCATAGTCCCGAAAACTATTACATTAAAAATTTCAGCTTACTGAAATTCAAGTAAGCAGAGTTTCAGAGTATATTTACAGTATGACAATGAAGTAATCAGAATGTATTTAAAGGAATAGAAACATTGTAAAGCACAGATATGGTTTTCTGTCATAATGCTGATTCAAAAGGTATTTAAACAGTGCACTTGTAGAATTCTGTTTTTGACACAGCTCTAAGAGCAGTCTAGATGTCACATTCCTCTTATTGTTTCCATATCGCACACACACACAAAAAAAGGTTCTTTTGAGAGGCAAATTTAATTTGGGGGAAGTGTACATAATCACAAGAAGACAAATCTAGAGAACATGTGTGATGTCTGACATACATAAATGTAGAGACATACATAAACATAAATGTTTTAGGCAGAAGAACCTCTAGGAAGTGGTTACTGACTGGTGGAAAGATACATTATCACACATTACAACATATTTGGAATAACGGTTTCTGATTGAATAGCATAAAATTGAAAGTTATCTGTGTATCTAACTCTTATTACAACTTCCCAAAATGTAGGGAAATTATTGTCTCATCTTTAGCTTAGATTCAAAGAACACTAAAGAAATAGAAATAGCAAACATAAGTGAACATTCAATTGCACCACAGCCAAATCAAATAGTATACTATTAGAGACTAAGAACATGGCTCTAATTTAAGTCCCACTACAGGTTGACCTATTAAAGACTACTGAATAATGATAATTCAATTTGGATTTAAATGCAGGGTAGCAAGCTGGCTACATTTTCCCAGTTTCCCTGTGTATAATCTGAATGGGAATGCCAAGAATGTTAATCTCAATGTTCTACCTTCATATTTTGGCATTAATTTTTGAGTCTTAATTCACAAACCGAAACTAAGTATAAAAAAAATTACTTAATTTGGAATATCTATTTTTACAAGTTCTTCCATATGTAACATTTTGAGATAGCATTTTTGAATTTTATTTTATTTTTCTATAAAGATCTTTAATTACTGTAATAAACCAAATTTAATTCTTTAAAGTAATAATAAAAGTCTTAAAAGTAATAAACAAGTTTAATTCACTTAACATTAATTAATATAATCCAAGTTCATAAAATACTAAAATTTTATCTACAGTCAAAAGTCGTTAATCCGGACTCGTCGGGACTTCGGCGATTCCGGATTATCGATTTTTCCGGATTATAGATCATCAGTTTAAATCTCATAAGATGGCATGCAGAAATTCTAAAATTAAAAATATGATTTATGAAATAAAGAACAATTATGATCTAAAGGGTATCAAAATTTACAAAAAAAAAAAAAAAAAAGCTTAATATGTATTTGTTTTTAATTTATTAAACATTTCTTTCAATGTAAGTTGTTTAAGTTGCTTTTTTTTATGTGATAATAGTTTCTCTTTAATTCTATAAACAGACATAATTTCTTGTTCAGTTACGAAGTTCTGCTGTTCAAGTCCCATTAATTGCTGTGCCGAGAATACCGACTAACTTGTCAATTGAAATTTTTTCGTTTTCACTAACCTCTCTGTCACATTCTTCATGTCTTTATCATTGCATAAAAAAATTGATAATTATTCCCTTTAAAAATTGCTATCCATACATTATTAGTAAATAATTATGCATCATATAAAAATGAGAATAATTTCCATATGAATAACTGTCAGTAAAAATTTATTTAGAAATTTAAGGTTAAAAATAACTTGGCAGTTTATTGAAGATTGTAATAAAGTCCATAAGCCATATTTGGTGTTATCGCAAAATTCAAAACCCACAAATTTATAAATGCTGATTTATATCTTTGGATTTTTTGAATAAAAATCTCTAATTATCTTCAGATTTGCCTATAAATATATCTGCTTTAAGATGATGTTAAAAATTTATAGATTTTAATTGAAAAATTCTTTTTGAACAATTTGTAAAACCTATTTAAAAATATGAATTTAAAAAAATAAATCACCAAAAGTTGTAAGAATTTTATTTGGACTGAGAGTAATTTCAAATTATGAAAGAAGAAATCAAGTAAGTGTAATTAAAAAAGAAATATTAACAAATATGTACTAAATTCAGTTAACACTATGAAGTTAAAATTTTGGGTGGTAATTTTAAAGAAACTGTTGTTTGATTTTTACAAAACTTGGCTCTGCCATAATTTGAATCATAGAATAGAAATATGGGGGAAAAAAATTAGCTGGTAACTTCAGCAAAATCTGGTTTTGTGTCAAAATGCTGATGTTAGAACAATTTTATATATAAATATAATATATATCTTCTGTCATGCTTTTGAGACAAGTTGAATTTTATCATTCATCATAGATTGGGAGATATAAAACTGTCTTCCCCCTTTTTTTGTATGCAGCATACATGGAGACAACAGCCCAAGAAAATATGGAAAAATTTCATGAAAAAGATGTGTTTTATGATCTATGTTTCTTGCTTTTTAAATCTTATGAATTCAGTACTTTTTAATAGAATACTTAATCTGCTGCCATTTTGAAAAAGCCCTTCCCTTTGTACATTAGCTTCGCAAAAAATTACTCCCCAGCAAGTTTGCGACTTTTCACTGGGATGTGTGTAATCAGAAAGTACCAAATAATTCTAATATTAAAAATAGATTTCTAATTTATATGTTCAAGAAATTTTTATTGCAATCAGTTAAAAAGTTATAATAAAAGAAAACTGCATTAAATATACCTAATACAAATTATGATCAATATTAGATAAAATTCCAATGTGTGTTTTAAGTTGCTCTTTCGAGATATGAAAAACACAGATTTAATTTTATTGACCAGTGACCAGCTCACTGGAATGAGAGATATAGAGATATAGAACTGTTCTTCCCTCTCTCCCCCTTCCCCCCCTTTTTTTTTGACTCAGTGTACAAAACAATCTATTATTAAAAAAAAAACCACTACCACAGAAATGCCATACAAACTCAGTGTTGTGAACAACAATAAATAAAGTGAATAGCTGTTGTAAATGAGATATGGCTATCTTCAGACCAATTTATGATCTGCATTCTAATGCTTTGCTTGCAATTTTTCACTTCATAAAATCTAATTATTTAAAAATTTACAACTTCAAAGAACGCAAATTTTTGCATTTTCAAATTTTTGCATTGTTAAAAGAAATGCCATATTTCTGCAGAAAGGCAATGCTTTTTTTCTTCATCAGCCAGGAAACTCCACATTCCTATCACAATTCATTACAAGAAAAAAAAAAAAAAAAAAAATACTCAATATAAAAAGAAACAATATTCAGAAAAATGAGGGTTGAATTTTAAGTCCAAATAAATGGATGTGTTATGCGAATACCTGGATTGCTACATAAATACTTTTTGGCCACATTGTGGGTTGCCATACAACTATTTTAGCACCACACTTGTCTCATGAATACTTTTTAATAACTTTCCAATGGAGTATCGATGAGATCAGAAACACAATTTTTTTTACATTGTATTTTCTCCTGTGTATGTATATGTAAAATAAAAACAAACTGTTTTATTATTTTAGGCACATATTAAGACTATATGAAATAATATCTAAACTACAATGGGATTATGATTGTCCATCAACTCAAATCAGAGGAAGTATCCTTTAAAATTTTATGTTTATCAAAATTATGTTGAACATAGTATTTTTTATGTTCCCCCCCTCTGTTTTTCTTTTTATCTTTTTTTCCCCCTTCTCTGTCTCTTTTTATTTACAGCAGACATTTTTATACAGTTTCATTTTAATTAGCCATACTTTTTATTAAGAAATGGTATTATTGATATATCCATGAAAATGTGATGTAATTTTGCTTTAAAATAAAAATTAAATGAATATTGCTGGATTTTCAACTTAATAAATACACTTTTTAAAATTATTTTACGCAATATGAATTCGATTTTATTCTAACTGTATGTTAACGTAATGTTAGTCTTCTATATTTTCTAAATTAGCCAGCTAATCTTTTCTCTGCCTGAGCTCTGGCCTTGCACAAGCTGGTTAATCAGGAATCTGATGCACTTTTTATTATATAAAGTTAGATATTTTTTCTTAACTCTAATGAAGTTGTGATGAATAAAACACTGAAGAAATTTAATTTGGATATCACATTATTTTCTGAGCATGCTGTTGTTAACCATCTTTGGAGCTTGATAGACTCTGAAGATCTTTGAAATGGTAAATATTTTATTAGCAGTTTTTATTTTCATGAACATAATCAATTTGACACATAAATTTTACTGTTTATTACTAACTAATAACATATTAAACTAAAGTAATAAGAGTATCATTAAAGGAAATAAAACATTTCTAAAGTTATTTTATATGATAAAGTATCCTGTGGCATGATACCTCTCAAAAATTTTGAATCTTTAATGTGTAATGCAAAGAGCAACATTTTGTTTTTGATTGCAAGGAAGAGAAGTAAATTACCTTTTGAGGATTGAGGTTTGTAAAATTATTGTTCTAGAAGGGATTCGGCTGAAAGCAACTGACTTTTCTTGGGTCAAGTGCTTTGAACTTAATTTTTAAGAATGGTAGTTTTTGTGCTACTGATAAAAGATGAGTTATAGTTTCCAAGCTAATTTGGGTTCAGCATTTGAATATTTTGTATTTTTATATCATATAATGTTATTTTAATATTCAATTTTCAGTTTAGAACTATGGGCAGGAATAAAGTTTTTATTTAATACCACTACATAAAGCTTTATTCTAACACTTTAAATAGTTCAGTCTCAGATGCTGATGCTTGTCATCGTTAAGTGACTAATTAGCCAGTCTTCAGCTTCTGCTGTTCTTATTATATATTGTTATTCTTAATATGGTGTATATTTTTTTATGAACAGATTTGGCTTTTTCTGTCTAAAAAAACTGTTAATGATTATGGATATAAAAATTCATTTTTAAAAAGATGAGTTACTGCATTACTTTGTACTAAAGCTTTTTATTTTTCTTTCTTTCTTTATTATTATTATTTATTGCCTAAAATTTTCATAGTTTGTATGCACTTAATATGCTTCTTCCTTTTTCCCTTCCAGATATCAAGTTTAGTAATCTGTCATGCAGCTGCTGAAAACTTGTGAAATGTAACTTTTTTAAATGCATATTAAATTTTTGTGGGCATACATATATTAAACTTGTGCTTATTAGAATGGCTGCTCATTATACTGATTATTTTATTATAATGATTGGTGCAAAAAGTTCCAAACTGAGGAAAGTATAACAAATCTGCTTTCATTATCTAAATACTCAAGAACTTTAATTTTGAAGTAAACAAGTAGTAGTTCAACTTAAAAATTAGCACAAATAAAGGTTGTAAAGTTGCACGCCTCCAACCTGCACACAACAAAGTGGTGACTGCTGAAACTGGAAATTAGACAGAGTCTTGAGAAGGGTTTAAGTCCCTTTTTATTCAACTTTAGAAATTACAAATGCGTGCTCTTGACGCTCACAAACTACGCCGAACCGGCGGTAAAATAAAAATAATAAACTGAAAAGAGATAATAAACAAGAGACTAACTACGAGGCTCTCTAAACATAACTAACCTCACCGCGTTCTATAGTACCACTGATACTTCAGCAAACTCTGAATATTACGTTGAAAGATTAACAATTTGCCGAGGCAAGCACACAGGCCGAAACGCATGGTTCTTCAATTTCTAACTAACCACCTCCGCGCTCGTGAAGTAAGAAAAGCACACTTCGAACTCGTTTCCTTTCTATTTAACTCAGAATACTTCCGCTGATAATTTGAATCCTTGCTCGTTCTACTAAAATTTACATACTCTGGCATTGGCAGTTCCAGGGGAAAGTAAGGCTTGACAGAAAAGATAGTTTAAACTTAAAAATAAATGTTAGTTAAAATAAATATAAACCCTACAAGGTGAAAATATCACTGAGTGCAATTTGGTTGGAATTAGTCCAACACTGTCAAAGCATTATTGTTATGATTTTACTTGGAATAAACTTTAAATCCTCTTTTATTATAGAAATATTTTATGATATAAGTAATCACTGTAATAAGTATCAGCTGTATGTACATTTTATGATTATTTTTGAATACAAAAGTTTAAAAGAAAGAGAGAGAAAGAAAAAGTAGATTTAAAAAAACACTTTTTTTAAAAAAAAGTTTATTCTGAAAATAATAGTTTAAAATAAATTTTAATTTTTGCCTAATAATTTATTAATGTAATTCAATGTTAGTACAGTCAAAAGTCGATAATTCGGACACCCATAATCCGGACCTCAAATCTACAAACTTTCTGCGCATGCGTCGCTTTGACGTAAGACCTTTACGGCTGCGAATATGCGTGTGCGCATGCGCATAATACGTTTACACAAGCGCGTTTAATGTATAAAGGACGGTATAAGCTAAGCTGAAATTATCTAATTCAGGTAATGTTGCAGATTGCGTTGTTCCTTAATCTTCGAATTGGATCCGGCTTATTATTTTTTGCAGACTGTTACAGCAATTTTATAAAAGTTAGCTTGAACTTTCGATTATGTCAAATAGAATTTCCGATATATATTTACTAATATGTAAAGGATCTACAAAGCAAAAGTATGTTTCGAAGTCCATTAAACCAAAAGTGGAATTGCTGCAAAAAATGGATGAAATATATCCTTTGATTATCTGATCATTCCGAAATATGTTTATCAATTTCACGCTGCTCTGCGGGGGAAGGGAAACGACACGGCGCGCAATGAATTGGAAGTTGATCTGTCAGCACTATCCTTATCTTCAGGGCAGATGTTTTTATTTTATTTGTCTTATAATTCCTTACTAAATGTAGTATTTTATCTCGATGTACTCCATCTTTGATATGATTTAAATCAAATTCCTCCTCATTATAACTCACTTCCAATAGTGAAGAAAGTGACACAGAGGTTATTGAAAACGAAAAAATTTCGATTGACAAATTAGTCATTATTCTCGACACAGCAATTATAGGACTTGACCAGCGGAACTTTGTAACTGAAGGAGAAATTATGTCTGTTTATAGAATTAAAAAGAAAGTATTATCACATAAAACAAAGCAACTTAAACAACTTACATTGAAAGAAATGTTTAATAAAAAAACAAATAAATATTAAGCTCTTTTTTTTTTTTTTTTTTTTTTTTTTTTTTTTTTTTTTTTTTTTTTTTTTTTTTTTTGTAAATTTTGATATCCTTTAGATCATAATTGTTCTTTATTTTCATAAATTACGGTTTCATATTTTAATTTATAATTCTGCATGCCATCTTACCAGATTAAACTGATGATCTATAATCTGGAAAAATCGATAATCCGGAATCGCCGAAGTCCCGACGAGTCCGGATTAAAGACTTTTGACTGTACTTATTAATGGAAAAATTATAAAATCTTCCCACTCTTAAAAATATTAAATGCCCACAATTAAATTGCGCCACAAAAATTAAATCAAAATTATATTAATTTTGTTATTTATTGTTCTTAACATCTATAATCGTAATTAGAAATAATTGAAATTATCATCTTATAAGGTATTTCTCCTGCCTTCGTGGTGTAGTGGTCTGCACACTCAGCGTGTAATTGAGAGGTCCGGGCTTTGATTCCCGGCGAAGGCGTTGCTAATTTTTCATCTTGCCTGCTTCCAAAAATACCTAATGTCTCTACAGTGGCTCTAGAACTTAAAGGTGTTGGATGATGATTCTCCTCACCCATGATTTGGCGATTGGGTCCCCTAAAAATCCCAGTTGCTCTTTAAAAAGGGGAGTATGTAAGGTATTTCTCCCGCCTTTCTTAGCGAGCCTTCATGGTGTAGTGGCTTAGTGCGTAATTAAGAGGTCTGCGGTTCGATTCCCGGCAAAGGCGTTGCTAATTTTTCATCTTTCTTCCAAAAAATACCTAACGTCTCTAAAATCTATAATTATTTCTGGTTATTAGGATAGGTTATAAATGACAAACATACACCACCTGGCAGGTAATGGCCAGTAGATTACCTGTAACACATTGACAGATGCATAACAGAACAACAAATGAATTATTCTCAATTTAAACAACTGTAAATGTTATCTATGTAATGGGGGTAATTAGTTTAAATGGTTATGAATATCATTTACACAATCTCTTTTTTAAAAAAATCTGCTAAATTTTTCTTCTTCAACACACAACACCCAAGGCCTCAAGAAGCCTAATTTTGCATTTTAAAGTAAACAAGAAGTAGTTCAACTTAAAAATTAGCACAAATAAAGGTGAAAATATCACTGACTGCAATTGGGTTGGAATTAGTCCAACACTGTCAAAGCATTATTGTTATGATTCTGCTTGGAACAAACTTTAAATCCTCTCTTATTATAGAAATACTTTAGGAGATAAGTAGTCACTGTAATAAATATCAGCTGTATGTACATTTTATAATTATTTTTGAATACGAATGTTTAGAAAAAAAAGAGAGTCAAAATTATCAAAGTCTGCAGTGGTCACCAAGCATAATGTCAACGTAAAAGGTTGCCGTGCTATTTGGTATTCAATTACTGATATTTAAAACAAAAGTTGCTTAAGACATCGCTGCTTGAGTCATTTCTGAAGCTGCCGTAAGTTGATAATCATGTGGTGATGAAAGCAAAAAATTATTCACTAAGTTGGCATAAAGATTGTATCATGTTCAATAAACATAAAATCAGTGATAAACTTTGACAAAATGTTTTAATTTGAGATGTGTTCCAAGCAATATGGTGGCAAAGGAACATAATTATTGATAATACAAATAAAACTAATAAATGATTGTGTTTCTTCAATGTATGAAGGTGTTATTCAGTAATACATTAGGGGTAAAGAATCAAGACCCTCCACTTGCTGTATTTTTATTTATTTATTTATTTATTTAAGTCTACTGTGCATGCTCGAAACTTTAAGCATATGCTAATCGCCGACTATTTCCGAGGCACATTTAATTATTTCTTATGGGACATGTGGTGCCATAAGTCACTGCATTCAGTTTGTAGTCTATGGCGTCTCATGTTCTGCAGTTTTCCACAAAATGCTTAACAAATCTTTTTGGGTTGGTAATATTAAAATTTGGCTAAACATTTGTTTAATATCAGCCGTTAAAATTATTTTATACTTTCGAAATCTTGGCATAATGTTTAAAATATTTGCAAGTACCCTGCACAAAAAAAAAAAAAAAAAAAAAAAGAGAGAGAGAGAGAGAGAGAACAGTTCTATATTTCCTGTTCTACTAGGCCGATTGACGAAATTCAACTTGCGTTTTTCATTTCAAAAGCGCCAGTTAAGATATGTATTAAATTTATATATAGCATTTTTATAATATAGGTATTACCATCATCTTAAAGTAGACGTATTTCTAAGCATACCTGTAAAAAATTACAGTTTTTAATCAAAATTTCCGCAGATATATGTGAATTTATATATTGGCGCGTTTTGAAATTTGTCATATTTTTTTAAAGCGATAAAACATCAGATGTAATTTAGATACTTTGTTAAAATTATTTGGAAGCAGAAATGATGTGACTTTTTTCCTTGTGATGTGACTTGACTTATGCGCAATGTAAGAATGTAGGAACGAGGTGCTTTTTTTTCTGCTCCAGCATAATGGAAGGGAAAGAAAAATTGGTTAAGAAGTTAGTAGTGTGAAATGGACAGTTCAGGGGCAGGAGGCAGTGTGCGGTGCAAATTGCGAGGGCGGATTGCGGATGAGCCAACACCCAGAGGCGCAGTAGATAAGGAGTGTGTCAACATTCTTCATTTAACTGATAAGATGACGTCACACTTTGATAAGAGATTATCTTTTATTGATTTTCCGGAGGTTCTTTGTTAATCCATGTTTAGACTTTATATTTTCCTTTGTATTCCAGCTATTTTACTAAGTATATGATGGTTATTTTCTAGGTACCTTTAACGACGATTATTTTCGAATTTAATGATTAATTCAGAAGGCCTTAATTTTAGATGTAATTTTTTTAAGACTTCCCTATATACTCAGAATTTTACGTTATTTCCTAAATCTTCTGTTCATAATACCAGATTTACTTTCCGTAATCTTAATTACATTACTCATTTTAGTATTAAATTTATTCTACCCAGAATTCCTTTAATCAATACTTTTCTGTTATCTGTTATATTTTACAAGTGTAATTACTAAAACACGTGTTTTTTATGTGTTATTTTAT